AAAAATTTAATTATAATAATCACAATCATCAAACGACGAAAAGTAAATTTATGCGCGATTGTGAGAAAAAATTGGCAACTAAATTTCAATATATGAAAATGAAATTTATATGGACAAAAAATGACATTTAATTATTTCAACAAAAATATAAAGTCGTCATTTTAAATATAATTTTAATTTTAGGTCAAAATTGAAACATAGTGGATCAAATTTAAAAATCTCATTTTAAAACTTTAAATTCAATATTTTAAAATTACAAAATTGACCTGAATTAAAATTATGTAAAAAGGGCCTCTAAATGTAGAAACTACAGCTTAGGTCCTTCCTCATTAAATTGCAAGCTGACCCTTGAGTGTTAATTGCAAGAAGACCCCAAAAATTCTGAAATTGCGGACAAGCCCCCATTCCCAAATCCATTCAAAACAATTCAAAAACCCTAATTTTCCCTTCTTGTGGCGTCACCGTCGGCCCAAAGCCCCTCAACGCACCTCCTCCCAGGTAAAAGGCTGCCCAAAGGCGGCAGCAACCTGCGCTGCTGCCCCCAAAAGGGCGGTGGCGCAGGCAAATTTTTTATTATTATTATTATTATTATTATTATACACACACAGAGGATTGTTAGGAGAAAAATTTTAGTTTATACACATTGATTTTGAGTCAATTTTAGCCATCTGTACATACACACATACAAAACAAGGGCAAAATCCATACACTATTACACAACCACATACGGGTTCATATGCACACAGACGGGGCTATGCAATTTTCGGGAAGGAGGAGAGAAAATAGCCCATTTACATTATTTTGTGTTTGGAATACATACAAACATATATACAGACGGATAAGCAAGAATTTCAAAAATAAATTTTATTTTATTATATTGTTTAAATGACTCTAATCTTAGCATGCCTCTCTGATACCAATTGCTGAAATTATTCAATACAATCATGCTAAGAATAAGAATCACATAGCTAATTGATAGTTCGATATTCATACCTGTGAATGACATTGTTATGTATGAATATTACCAACTAGATCTTCTTTTTCTTGCTCCTCACAAATAATCAGCTGTCAATGGGACAAGCCAAAACGATAATGGAGAGGAGAGGAGACCTAGCCATTATATATGAAATGATAAAGTCGGCCCATTACCGACTTAAACCCTAATTAGGGTTTACATAATTCCGACCCACATACTTAAAATTACCACATTATGATAATATAGCATGTAAGGTGTACAAAGGCCCAAGTGATCACCAACATATCGGGCCTAATCATCGTATCATTGTAAACCATACATCTAAACCGTAAAATTCGCAATCAAATGGAAATCCACATAATAGAATTATTCTAACATGATCAGCACAACAAGTTTGGCATATCTGTATGTAAATCGTTAAGAAGCTAGATACAATTACTACTCAACTTTGATTGGCATGTGACTAGTAAATGCACCAATTGAAAGTGTACTCTCATTAATTCAGCAACATGCTTCCTATGCCGTGTTTGTTGGAGATTTAAATCAAATTTTTTGTTAGATTTTGATAAAAGTTGATGAAATATGTGATCAAAAGGCTGCGAGTCTCATTAAATGTGTGATTAAAATTGATTGTTTATTTTGACTTAGATTAAAATCTCTACAAAACGGAACTATATATATGTATTTGAGGTCATGGTACTTTTTAAATTAAAACAACATATATGTATAGAGGCAAACGGTTCGAGCCACTCGTTGGCTCACGGGCTTGGCTCTATCAATGGAGGGTTCGAGCGTCAATCTAGATCGTCTTGGGCTTGTGAATTGGATGGTTTTTTTTTTTTTTTAATTTTTTTTAGCTTATTTTATTAAATTCTTTTTAAAAAACAAATCAGCTGGTGGACAGCTTGAGTCGATCCACTGAATAGGGTAGCTACAAATTTATATTTCGGTAAAGCGGTTAAGGGCGTAGAAAATTTGCCACATGTCAGGTTGGCATTGGACAGAATAAAAAAGTGCATTTATGAATGTTCAGAACATCTATATATAAATAAACGAGTTGGTGAAGGCTGCTGCCAAGTTTACAAAGAATAATGGCTTCTAAACCAGGGATTCTCACCGATTGGCCATGGACATGTCTTGGGAACTTTAAGGTAACATCTACTTCGTTGCACTCCATTTATCTCCATAATTCATTAAAATCAAATTCTCGAGTCATTCTTGTGTTTGTATCTGCTTTGTTAATTCAAATATTGAAGTAAAATATCTATGTTTTGTGGATGAAGTACCTGGTATTGGCTCCTTGGGCAATTCAAGAAACGTATTCGTTCATAGTGAGTGATGAAAGTGAGAGGGATCTTTCACATTTTCTTATATTCCCATTCTTATTACTAAGAATGCTGCACAATCAAATATGGATTTCGCTATCTCGATACAATACTGCAAGAGGTACTAGCAGGATTGTTGACAAGACTATCGAATTTGAGCAAGTTGATAGAGAAAGAAACTGGTACATACTTTTCCAATTCGCAATTATTCTAATTTTCCCATTTTTTGAACATGATGATATGAGCATGGTATCCATGATTTGCAGGGATGACCAAATTATATTTAATGGGATTTTGTTCTACTTGGGTGGCAAGTATCTCAAGGGAGGTGACCATCTGCCATTGTGGAGGACAGATGGGATAATATTAACAGCTTTGCTTCATGCCGGTCCAGTGGAGTTCCTCTACTACTGGCTTCACAGGGCGCTGCATCACCACTTCCTCTACTCGCGTTACCATTCCCACCACCACTCCTCTATCGCCACTGAACCCATTACTTGTAAGAAACCACCAAAAAACAACACCATGAGTACTTAAATTTTCATCCTTAAGTCAGTTTATTTACCTATATCTGGGATCTTCTTTCTGTCATTTGATAATTTTTGTGGTGTGGCAGCTGTGATTCATCCATTTGCGGAGCACATAGCATACTTCACACTCTTTGCTATCCCTTTGTATTCATCTATGCTAACGGGGAAGGCTTCCATCATATCATTTGCTGGTTATATTATCTACGTTGATTTCATGAACAACATGGGACATTGCAACTTTGAGCTCATTCCAAAATGGCTGCTATCCATATTTCCCCCTCTCAAGTATCTCATGTATACACCTTCGTAAGTATATCCCTACCCTCTTATTTCTTATCATAAGTGAAAATGATGTTGTGTATAAAAAGTGTTTACTTATATAAGTAAATATGTCTTATGGTTGAGCATAAACACTGAGAGAGCTAAGCCACCCTTAGATGGTAAACTTTAATACATATTAATTCAATACATTCAATGTATTGGAACATTAATAATCCACTGGTATAATCTAGTAATTTAATCGATTACTTAATGTGTTATAATTTCATATTGAAGAACTGAATTCATCTGATTGCATATGTATATCTGGTGGTGTATACAGGTTCCACTCTCTGCATCACACTCAATTTCGAACCAACTACTCACTTTTCATGCCATTTTACGATTTTATCTATGGAACGACGGACAAATCCTCAGACTCGCTATATGAAAGTTCACTTAATAGAAAAGAGGACACAGCTGATGTAGTTCATCTGACGCATCTAACAACCCCTGCGTCCATATATTCTATGCGTCTAGGATTCGCATCCCTGGCCTCTAAGCCTCACAGTTCGAAGTGGTACCTTTGGTTAATGTGGCCTGTGACAATTTGGTCCCTGATGGTAACTCGGATTTATGGACGCACATTTACCGTAGAGAGAAATGTCTTCAAACGTCTAAAGTTACAAACATGGGCCATTCCAAAATATAAGATCCAGGTAAGAAGCTATGTGGGCAGCATCAATTTATATAAAGACGTGCGTGTAATTTAAATATTTTTGACATTATTAATTTCATGCTGGTGAAGTATTACATGAAATCGCAAAGAGAATCAATCAATAGTTTGATCGAGGATGCGATACTGGCAGCTGATGAAAAGGGCATTAAGGTGTTGAGCCTTGGTCTACTGAATCAGGTAAGTTAAAGCTCTACACTAGTCTATTAGAAATACTTCCACTTTCAGATCACCAAAGAGTCAAATGTTAATACTGTATGTTCCCTTAATATTGATCACAGGAAGAAAAACTCAATGGAATTGGTGAGCTTTTTGTAAGAAGACACCCCAAGCTAAAAGTCAAGCTGGTAGATGGAAGCAGTTTAGCTGTTGCTGTTGTACTGAATAGCATTCCAAAAGGAACAACCCAGGTGGTCCTTCGAGGGAATTTGTCGAAGGTTGCTTACTCCATTGCCCTTGCTTTATGCCAAAGGGAAATACAGGTGTGTTCGACAGGAAAAAAGAGTAACAGATGCTGATTCTATATGTGTAACCAAAGCATATATATACAGACATACATAGGCGACAAAATTTGATAAAATCGTGTTGAGTTGCATTGCATTAGAAGATAATGTTTTCTCATATCATAGGCTTTTCTTGCTTATCGTAATTAATAGGTAAATGCAATACGCGAGGATGAGTACAACAAGCTTAAAGCAAGGCTCAGCACTGAGGCTGTAAAAAATTTGGTTCTGTCTAAAAGCAATGCTCCTAAGGTTAGATTTCTCCTCCTCCTCTCTTCTGCATACTTTTTTCTTATAACCATATATATATATGTTAAACCTTAGCTTCTTTTGCCCTGTAAATTGTTGACTTAACCTAATACAAAATGTTATATTTACAGATATGGATAGTAGGAGATGGACTGAGTGAAGTTGAACAATTGAGGGCATCCAAAGGAACAGTATTCATTCCATTCTCACAATTTCCTCCGAAGAAAATGCGCAAAGACTGTTTCTACAACAATATACCAGCAATGTTGGCTCCTAAGCATCTTCAAAATGTTGACTCTTGCGAGGTATATATACCAGGGATAAAACCTTAATTTCTTCATCGTTTTATTCATTTTTTTCCATGTGAAGTATTTTCTTGTATTCGTATGACAGAATTGGTTGCCAAGAAGGGTAATGAGTGTATGGCGTATAGCTGGAATACTGCATGCTTTGGAAGATTGGAATGTGCACGAGTGTGGAAAAATGACGTTCGACATTGATAAAATCTGGCAAGCCAGTATTGTGCATGGTTTGACTCCTATTATGATGTCCACCGACTCGAAGCCATATTAGACTAAACTANGATAAAATCTGGCAAGCCAGTCTTGCCCATGGTTTCACTCCTATTATGATGTCCACCGACTCAAAGCCATATTAGACTAAACTATGAATGCTGAGTTCAAGTGTTGGGAACTCTAGCTGTCTATTTGATGGAAAGAATGTGGAATGACATGGAACAGCAATTTCACAGGAGAGTGAAAATACTTGTATCATTTCATGTGCTCAAGTGATAACTAAAGTGAAAATAAATGTGCTTTTACAATTTGTCATAGCATTTGTATATTATTATTTATAGGCACGTTACATTTATGATAGATATACACAAGGAAACTTTACACACAAAGCTTAAAGCAAATAAGGTATATGCAAGAAATTTCTAGAATTAATCCTTAGGTGTAATCTCTAATCATTGAGCCTGTCTTTCCTATTTGAAGGGGCGTCAATCACTGAATCTTCAATCGTTTATTGACATTAGACAGCATAACATTAGTTAGTCAAACATAAAATACATGGTAGAATTTCTAAAGGTGCTTTTTTTGGTTCGAAGTGAAGTTTGCTTATTCTTATTAGCTCTTTCAATAAATATTTTGATGAAGCACATTTTCCATCATACTGCAAGTCCTTATTCTTATTGTTAAATTAATAATACAAAAAATATAGAGAGGAAAATAAAAAGAGGCTAGGGTTTTTCTAATAAACTGAATGAATAAAATACAAAGAAAAGAAACATTAAATAGTCCAAGCAGAGAAATAAAATGACTAATCTACCCTCAATACAAAACTAATATATTTAACATCTCCCCTCAAACTCATAATATTGCTGCAAGAAGCATCGAGAATTTGCCAAACAAAAAATGAAATCGAGAAGTGGAATGTGACTTCGTAAACAAATCAGCACTCTGTATGGTGGAAGTAACAAAAGGTAATGATATAGTGCAAGATGATAATGAAATCAATCTCATTATGTTTAGACTTCTTATGGAATACTGAATTGCACATAATTTGAATAGTACTCTTATTGTCAGAATACAATGGAATAGGTTGGCTGAGAAATATACCCATATCTTCAAACAACCAACGTAACCAAACTATCTCACAAGTAGTATAAGCCATGGCACGATACTTTGCTTCTATGGAAGATTTAGGAAAAGTATTTTTCTTCTTACTCTTCCAAGAAATAAGAAAATCGCCAAGAAAGAACCGGTGATCTATAGGATCACCAGCCCAATCAACATCAGAATATGCTAGCAATAGTGAAGAAGTAGAGGAAAGTAAAAGATTGAAACTGAGTGCCTCTAAGATACTCAAAATGCGAAGATCGGTAGCCCAATGAACTGTAGTAGACAAGGTAACAAACAAACTAACTATATGAACAACATGTGCAATATGTGGATGAGTAATGGTGAGATAAACCAATCTACGAACTGCAGTATGATATAAATTAGGATTTGATAATGGAGAATCATCAGAAGAAGAAAACTGAGCATTAAGCTCAAGAGGTGTATCAACTTTATTATCAGTAGGACGAGCATGCTATTTATATAAGATATGTACTTTGACTGAGAAAGAAAATAATTTTTTGGAGAAATGCAACTTCAATACCCAAAAAGTAGCGGAGTGAACCCAAATCGTTCATTGCAAAACAACGCGCTAACTTTGACTTTGGTGTTGCAATCCCATCGACGTCGTCACCAGTAATAATCATGTTATCAATATATAAAGAGAGCAAAACACGACTAGCAACTATACAACTGTGAAATAAAGCTGAATCATGATAACTAGGATGGAAACCAAGTGAAGTAATCACAGTAGAAAACTTCTCAGACCAAGCTCGAAGTGCCTATTTAAGATCGTAGAGAGCTTTTCAAGTTTCTAAACTTCACCAGGTTGATGATAAACACCATAAGGAGGAAACCATATAGACTTCTTCTTGTAGATCTTCATTCAAGAGGCATTTTTAACATCTATTTGAGATATACTCAATTGAAAAACAGAGGCAACTGCAATAAACGTGTAAACAGTAATCATTTTTGCAACTGGTGCAAAAGACTCCTCATAATCCATGCCATATTCCTGAAAATACCCCTTAGCAACTAATCCGGCTTTATATCTTTCAATAGACCCATTTGACTTGGTTTTGATTTTATAGACCCAATGAGTAAAATTCCTAAACACTCATACTTTTTTGTTGAATTGCACGAATATCTATATTTAATTGATACTATTTTGCAAAGTTAAATTGATTGTACAGTTTAGCCGATGCTCCCAAACTTTCTTAGCAGTATCATATTTAGCCAATTGTCTGCCTATCGACTTCACAACAGAATTATTAATTCAAGTAATAATATTTGAATTATCAAATTCCCAATTATCTATCAACTTGATATAATTGACAACATTATCATTTTTAGGTTTAACACAAGTACCCGAAATATAACCCCACGTCTTTTTGCCCTTCAAAAAATTCATCATCACATAACTTCAATACGAATAATTCTTCACATTTAATTGCACACTAATTGATTGAAGAGAATCAGGTCGACTTTCAACCATTGTAAAATAATCGAATAATTACCAATATGACAAAATACAAAAAAAATAGAGATGCGAAGTCAAAAAAGAATCGAACAAAATTTAGCTAAAGCCAAATGTACGATCTCATATAAACTGCCAAATGTGTACTATTCATGGAAAAGTGACAGACCCATTTATTGCAATTCGCCATCAGTTTCCTAATTGTCCGCGATCCATCAGTTTCCCAATTTCATATTGATTTTCAGAAGCTCTAATGTCGTGGATAGCAATTTATTCTCCTTTTCAATCCTTTATTCCTCAAACCTCTAATACCATGTTAAATGAATAATACAAAAATTATAGAGAGGAAAACAAAAGGAAGCTAGAATTTTTCTGATAAACTGAATGAATGAAAATATAGAGAAAAGAAACTTTATATAGTCCAAGCATAGAAATAAAATGACTAGAATTTGCTACATGCACATCAAAATTTACATAATTGATTACATAATGTCATATAACACTCTATCATTTGTCAATTAAAAACACAATCAATATTTTCCTCCACATTATATTATGTAATTTATTATGTACATTTTTTTATGTGCAAGTAACAAATCCAAATGACTAATCTACCTTTAATACAAATCTAATACAAAACTAATATATTTAACACTTTCTATAGAGATGTCAAAAAGTTTCGTTCAAACTAATGCCCATGGTCCCACCCCATTAGATTACATGTCTAATCGGGTAAACGAGATGGGAGTGAGACTAGGGTCATTGTCCCGAAGCGGGTATGGGACGGGTACGAAAAATATAGTCCCCATCTCGCTACCCGTCCTGCTTCAAGTTAATTTCAAATTTAAGTTTTTTATTAAACAAAAATAAAATATTTATCATTTGAAAAAAAGTAATAACACTCATTAACTAAATATACAAAAAAAAGTAATAAATAAATGGGGCGATAAACATGGCAGGGGACATGTCCTGGCTTGATAAGGCCCCGAACCCGTCCGTCCTGCATTAACCGAGTATGGGCGAAGCAAGGTAACAAAAATACTAGATGGGACGGGAACGAGAATGACCGACCGGTACCATAGTGGCTCTATTACCATCCCTAACTTATTACCTAAAATGCATGTCCAGACTCGACCAGATTACTCATTCAAAATCCAAGTGAGACTCTATCATGACCTCACCTAATTAATAACAAACTATACTGTGAAATAGGAAATTTTGAGTTATGCGATACATATACTCACATTAAAGCCCCCTGTTTGGTGCGGCTAAAAATTAGAATTTTATTAAATTTTGATAGAAGTTAGTGAAATGTGTGGCTGAAAAGTTGTAATCCTATGATATGTATAAATAAAATTAATTGTTAACTTTGATTTAGATTTTTATAAAAGTTTTAAGCTACGCCAAACAAGGGCTAAGTATTAAGATATTGCACAATATCCAACTGAATAGAGTAGAAGTAATGAACCCTCAATCTCTACCAACATAATTCAACATATATGTTCTTTACAATCCTTCGGCCCATCCACAAACTCTTCAACCACTGCTTAGCTCCTTGTTGGATTTTATGCACAAAAGAATAGAGAAATCAACATAAGTATTTAACGTGGTTCAGCGATGTGCCTACGTCCACAAGGAGCGAAACGGATATTTTATTCAGTATGAATAATAGGGTTACATCATTAATATTTATACTAACCCTAACTCATGCCCAAGCTCATACAAGACTTTAGGGCTCATACAATAAAATATACATGTACCATACTGTGGGGGCAACTTATTCAACATGCCTGGCAAACAAACAATGAATTAAACACGCAAGGCCGATGTCGTCGCTCCACTCTCCTCACTCTACTCTGCTCCGTTTCCGGTATTGACCATTTTGATCCGGTAAATTGTGTTCCACTCTATATAAGCCACATATATAACACACCCTTATATTGATTCTCTGCCAGTTATGTATATATATAGATATAAAGAAAATTTTTCAAAACGAAAGTTTTATATATTACAAAATGTTAAATAAATAAATACATTATTGACTTTCTATTTTGTTTTTTCTTATTTTCAAGTTGACTCTTCGTAGAGACCTTTCATCTTTTATTTTATTTTATCTGTTTGTTTGGTCATTCTTATTTTCGCAAATGCAATCATCTGCAAATTTTTTAGCTTACATTTTCAATTTTTTTTCTGTCCTCTATTGTATTTTTATTTTTGATATTTTTCAAAGGTTCCTCACCTTTTAAATTTTTACAGATTTTATCATAACTTTCAATTTGTGCCAACGGATATCCCTGACCTTTCAAAATTATGCATCGGAGTCCAATGGATGTAATCCATCCACTTTTCCGTTAGTTAACCAAAAAATGATTTTGACCACATTATTAATTATTTATATAAGGGTAAAATGGTATCTTTATCTCTTTTCATATAAAAACAATTAAAATAATTAAATAAAAAAATCATCATCTTCCACC